GGACTCTTTTTCCAAAGAGGACATACAGATGGTCAATAGATATATGAAAAGATGCTCAATGCCATTAATCATCAGAGAAATGCAAATTAAAAATACAATGACATAACATGTCCCACTTGTTAGACTGGCTATCATCACTGAATCAACAGATGACAAGTGCTGGCGAGGATGTGGAGAATAGGGAACTCTTTTGTACTGTTGGAGGTAATGCAGACTGGTGCACCACTGTGGAAAGCAGTGTGGAGATAACTCAGAAAATTAAAAGTGGATCTGCCTTTTCATCCAGGGATCCCACTTCTAGGAATATATCCAAAGGAACCCACAACACTAATTCAAAAGAACATAAGCACCACTATGTTCATTGTAGCATTATTTACAATTGCCAAGATATGGAAGTAGCACAAATATCCATCAATAGATGAGTGAATAAAACAACTATGGGACATTTACATAATGGAATTCTACTTAGCAGTAAAAAAGAAGAGAATTTTACCCTTTGCAACAGTATGGATGGACCTGAAGAACATTATGCTAAGTGAAATAAGCCAGTCAGGGAAAGACAGATACCATGTGATTTTGCTCATGTGGAATCTAATGAACAAACTCAACTAACAAGCAAAACAGAGACAGAGTCATAGATGCAGAGCTGATGACAACTAGTGGGGGAGTAGTTAGGGGGTAGAGGGATGGAGTAAAAAAGAAAAAGGACTCATGGATATGGACAATAGTGTGGTGATTGCCGGGGGGCGGGGGACATAAGAGGACTAAATGGTAATGGGAAAAAATACAATAAAGTTTAAACCTAACAACAAAGTCAGCTGATTATAGACGTTAATTACATTTACAGTATAAAATACCTTGACAGCATCGTGTAGATTAGTGTTTGACCAAACAATTGGGCACCATTGTGTGGTTGGAGAGAGACATTTAGTAGATTCATGATATATTCAGTATTTAATGGTAATAGCTGAAACCTGGCTGAGGATGACATTTCTAGAGAAAGGACAAAAGAGGTTAAAAATGAAGGTTATATATAGGAGAGTTATTAGGAAAAAAGAATCCCAGAAAAGGAGACTATGAAAGAGTGCTTATAACTCAAAATATACATGTTCGTTATTTTTATCTACAAACCTGATCCAATTTCACATCCAAGACAGAATGATGTCATTGAAAGCACATGTGTAGAAATTGCCAAATGGAGTAAATTTTAGTTTGTATATTAGTATTCATTTATTTCTCCTAATTTTATTGTTTTAGTCTTTTGATTCTGGGTTCATATGCTATGTCTTATCTAGAATAAAGAATTTTTCTAGTAGTAAGAGGTGCCTTAGTGTTTTCATGGTAGATTGTGATTTGCATTTTTTCCTACCAAGATAATTACCATTTGGGAAGGGGTCTCACAAGAAAAATGAGTGAATTGCTTTATTTATGATTCCCATTTAATTAGCTTTGCCTAGGCTATTTGAAGATAACAGTGAATTTTTATTTATTCATTTTTAATTTTTATTTTTAAAAAGATTTTTAAATTTATTTTTACAAGAGATGGGAGAGGGAGAGAAACATTAACTGGTTGCTTCTTGCATGCCCACAGCTGGGTACTTGGCCTGCAGCCGAGGCATGTGCTCTGACCAGCAATTGAACTGGCAACCTTTTGGTTCACAGGCCGGCACCCAGTCCCCTGAGCCACATCAGCCAGGGTGACAGTGATTTTTAAAAAAATGCTGTGCCTATCCAGAAGTTTTCATGGGAAAAGTATCTCTAATATAAAAGCAAATTCTTCCTGAATTTCTTTTTATTTCACAACTACTTTATCAGTTAATCAATAGCATTTATTTGATATCTGATATTTACATGTATGTTTTTCTTGATACTCTGGGGGAAATAAAGAAATAGAGGATAGAAATTAGTTGATCTGAATATTCTAAGAGGAGAGATATTTTTGTGTATATATAGACAGCATTTGCAATTGCTGTATTTATTTTACACAGTTGAGAGTAAACTGTTTTCTCACAGATACTTTATTAGGTAACCAAACTAGCCTTTTTAAATGTCAGAGGGGAAAGAACACTTTATTTTACAGACTCTTTTCTGTATTTTAAAATCGAATATAAAATTTGAACTTTAAGACTTGGGACTATCTTTTTTTGTGTGTGTACTTTTGGGCTTCAGGACTGTGTAAATTTACTTTATGCTTTTGACTTCTTATGGACTTTTTTGTTTTTTCTCTCTTCTTGATATTAATGGGTGGGGAAAATGGAAAAATAGATGTTTTTAAATAATGGAGGAGGAGGCCATCAGAGGGGGTGTCAACATGCTGGTCCCTTTCTGGCCCACAGGAAGGCATTGGTAGGTAGGCCACAGGTTGGGGTGGGGATGGTGATGGGGGTGATGAGCCTTTGGGGGTGGAGAGTCTTCACCTGACCATTTCCTGGGTATGGTTAGATGTGAATCTCAGTGGAGCAGCCTTAAAAAGTCAAGTAGCTTCTGTAGCAGCAGCTGTGGGACCTGAGGATGGCCAGCCACTCATTCTGGGGAAATAGGAGTGGGCCATTGGGCAGAGGGGAGGTTGTGTCTTTTTATTCCCTGGCCATAAGCTGGTCTCTGGAGATCACTAAAATTATAGTGGGTAAGACATCTGGGTAGGTGTCACCTGACGATGCCAGCACCAATGGCACCTTAATTACAAGTTGAAGGTTGTTAAGAAGTTGATGTGCCCTTTATAAACTGGGGATGTCATCTACTGGGGTTACAGGAATAATGAGTTGGAACACAGTATGGCACACCTCTGTAAATATTTGCATGAAAAGCAAGGTATAACACAGGAATCTTTTGAAGCTGTTAAAGAAAATGTATTCCATATGACCAAAAATACCTCAGTTCCAGGTGAGGTGATGATTCTGCTGTTGCTTGCCGCTTGGCAGTCTTTGAGAAACCACAGCCATTGACACTGATGTTGGACCTCTTCAACACAGCCTCTCCCTCTTTCATAGTCATCTTTTGTAGGGCAAGAGCATTTTTCAGTTCCACATTCGGGTGCAGACATCCCTTCTAGAAGGATGTGGTCCAGTTGTGGCAAATGATATCTTTAGTTTTGCTTCAGCTCTCCCAGAGAGGGAACGTTATGTTCTTTGATAGAATCCTGGTATTAGGAGAATTTGAGCCCATTAAAAAGAAAATAAAAAGAGTTGGGGAGCCTAATCTGAGCCAGCAGTTGTTTGTTGCATGCCAGTATAGAAACACTTAAAATTTATGATGCTATGAAGCCAGACAAGATGAGATGCTCTTGTGCTTCATCTGTATGGAGTTGCTGCAGAACTGTGTGAGATTGCAGTCCTGGAATGCATTTTGTTGTCTGACTATAAAATCACCGAAAATACCATGTTGCAGCCTGGGCATTTTTTGAGAGATGACACATTGGTATTGGAAGAATATTCTTCCTTTCTAGTTGCTTGTGGCTGTAATATCTCATTCTGATTTCTCTTGGGGCCACAACTGCTGTTTACACAATGAAATTCAGTCATATTGGTGAACAGACAGTGTTCAAGAACTAAATGTCAGGGGAGGCACAGAGGTGGCTTTGGAGTTTTAGAGGTCAAGGACAAGGTGTTTCAAAAACTATCCAACATAAACACATGAGGGCATTTTTACAGTTAGCCTCTCAAGTGAAACTGGGATCTATATATTAGGTACTCTGGTTTGACTTTTCTTTCGTGGAGCCTTTCCTTGTGAGTGAGATCCTTCCCAGTGGCCTGGGAGGCTCTGTAAGGCCACATCCTATCTTCTAGTGTGTAAGTTGAGCTATTACCATATCTTACCTATGGTTCAAGTGTGTTCTTGATTATAGCTGTGGAACAATGGCACAGAGAGCCAGAAGGCTTTAGGCATGAGGCATCCCCTTCGCGGGTTACGTGAGTCTTAGCCTGATGCTTCACAATGGCTGAGAGCTCAACCCTTCCTTGCTTCTCCACAGCCACAAGCCCCTCTCTCCTGCGTATGTCCCACATTATTTTATTCCTTCCCTGCTTTCCAGTGAGTGGTATCTTTGAGGTCATGGGGCAGACATGGCAGGCCAAGGTTTTTGTGTATGTATAGTACATCTGTCTTATGTTGTGCATCTGTGGAGCAGGCCCTTCTGACTGAGATTCTGAAGAGCACATGAATGGTGCATGAAGCACCAGTTCTAGCTGCTGGTATGCTGGAAGCCATCTGTCTATATGGTCATTGCTTCCTCTCCTCCTTGCCCTTATTCTGTCCTTCTCTGTTAGGTTTGCCATGTCATCTGGAATAATAGTAGAAATTTTATTTTTGAAAAAAAAAAGTTTTCTTCTGTTGAAATCACCTGTTACATTTTTTAGTAAAACTTACAACTTTTTATTTCTCAGGAAAATGATTTTCAACTGTTGTCTTGTTCATGATGTAAACTCAGAGAAGCAAAACGGTTTATAGAAGAATGTCCTTTTTTGCATGCTAGTAAACAAGCTGTGTTTATTTTTAAAAATTCTATTTAAAGAAAATAAAAACAGTAAGAGCATGCTGTTCTGATTGGAATAAACAAAGTTTAGTGAATGGACTGGAGTTTGTAGTTATGGGAGAGCTTTGGGAATATGTTATTGATGATTGCAGTCTCTGTTTTATATCAAGATGGGATTTGCATTTTGCCAGAGGGGATAAATCAGTAGGTAATCAGATTAAAGCATATCCTAGACTATGTAATATAGGGAATGTCATTGAAAGCATGTGATAAGTGACCTGCTGTAATTACAAAATTACAGTGCTAGCTTCTCCAGTGAAAAGTGGAGACATCCTATTTCAGGGCAGGTTATCGGTTTCCATATTTCTAATGGCATAAAAAATTTTAATTTGAACAAAAGGGGAAGCGTCATAATATTACCCCGTTAGCCTATTTGTATAGTTAGTATGTAATCATGGCATTTATTTGTGTGAAAACCAGAAATTAAGTAGATTTCTTGATTTGTATGTGTATTTTGTCTCTCATCTAGAAAAAGTATACATTCAGGAGGAAATAATCAGGAAAAGGAAGAATAAGAAGATCAAGATGTGTAGCTCTGTGGCTGCCAAATTGTGGTTTTTGACAGATCGTCGGATCAGGGAAGACTATCCCCAAAAAGAGATCTTACGAGCATTAAAGGCCAAGTGTTGTGAGGAGGAACTGGACTTTAGGGCTGTGGTGATGGATGAAGTGGTGCTGACAATTGAGCAAGGAAACTTGGGTAAGTCTGTACTAAGTAATTTTTTTGACTTTTACTTAGTATGTGGTGACTCTGCATGTTTCAGGAATAATTAGGACAGAGGCATCAATAATAGCCTTAGCATAGTAGCTAACCTTAAAATGTAGTATATTTTCTGAAAGAAATGAGAGCATTGGTATTTATTAAACTCCTTATTATTTAGGAAATAATTGGGAGGGGAATTAAAGATAATCTACTAGTTGTCTTCTGTTATTACGATCTTAGAGTTTTAAAATACTTTGTTATTTAAGGGGGTTCCTTTTAGTAAATGAATCAAAATTCATGTGATTCTTTTTTTTTTTTTAAGATTTTATTTATTTATTTATTTATTTTTAGAAAGAGGGGAAGGGAGGGAGAAAGAGAGGAGAAAAACATCAATTGGTTGCTTCTCGTACAACATGACCCACAACCCAGGCCTGTGCCTTGGTGGGGAATTGAACTAGTGACCTTTTAGTTGATAGGCCAGTTCTCAATCCACTGAGCCACACCAGCCAGGGCTATTTATTTGTTTTAGAGAGAAAGGATGGGAGGGAGGGAGAGAGTGAGAGAAACATCTAGTGATTTCCTCTGGTACATACCCCAGGTGGGGACTGAACCTGAAACCCAGGCATGTGCCTTGGCCAAGAATCGAATCAGCAACCATTCAGGTATTAGCTCTTTAAATATTTGGTGGATTTAACCAGTTAAGCTATTAGGTCTTCTGGACTTAATTCACTTGGCTAATTCTGGCTCTTTGGCACTTTTTCTTTATCACATCAGTAAATAAACCTATCCCCGAATAACAGTTATTTCATATAATTAAAACATTTTAATTTATTCTGGACATTTTTTCTTAAATATTCCCCTGGATGTTTGCTCTTATTTAATAATTTGAGAGACCTACTAGATATAAAGCATAGCACTAGGCACCCTAAGTTTATGTCTGTTTTTCTTTTATAAAATACTAATAGCTTTATATATTTTTAATTATATAAATGACACAAAAATACCAAATGTAAAGATTAAATCAAGTATCATCTGATATTTTTTTGCCATTCATATATTGATCACACATATACATATAGATTTATAACATGCATACTCTGTAAATGTTTTTCACATGTTAAGTGAATGTCATCTGTGTGCCAAGATTACTATACTAGGCACTGAGAGATGTAGAGTTTAGCAAAATATAATAGTCCATTGGTTCTTGTCTTTTTTAAGCCAAATGGAAGACCTGGACATTATGTAAAAGTTAAAGAAATATTTACACACAAGTGTTATAAAAGGAGAGTACAGTGTGATATGAGAGAGTACACCAATAAATCGCATTAGATGGGGAGGTCAGAGAAGGCCTCATCAAGGAAGTAACACTAAAACCTGAAGGATGAGTAGCTGTTATTCCAAAGATGGAGTGAGAGGAACGGTATATACAGTGCCCTTAAGTAGGATTCCTTTACCATAAATTCCTAGAGGAAGAATTACTGTTCATTGCTAAAGTATTCCAGAAAGGTAGTACTAACGTAGTACCCTTTTCACATAGTCTCTCCAGTGTGATTGCTTTCTCATTTTAGACAATTCAGGGTTAGGGTTAATTAGACAAGGAATGGCCAGGTTGAGCAGCTTTCTGCTTAATCTTTTGGGAATTTGGGACTGTCACTCCCAACCTAGTTGGATCGTGGGATACATAGTTGGGTATTTCCTTAAGTTAGAAAACAAGCTGTTCAATGTTAAAGGAAGAACATTTAGTATCTTCAGTTATCAGGGAGAAATATCTTTTCTCCTAGGAATTTATCTCCCTCCCCCCATTAAAGTAGTAGGTAGCTTTGATTATATTTAGTCTGAATGCTAGATCCATCTACATTTTCATTATTCTTCAGTGAGATACTTGAATGAAATTTTAGCTTCTCTGCCAGCACCAAGTGATTATACCTGTCTTATCAGAATGATTGCCTATCCCTTTCCAAAGTAGTTCAGGAAAGTGAAGAAATTGGATTAGTTGTGCCTCTAATGCTTTAAAGTTATTCACATTAAAGGTCAAATTGCTTTTGGAAATGGCTACAGTTTTATACCTGATGTTGAGTAGTATAAATTAGAACATAGCTTTATGAATAAAAGTTACTATGGTAAATTCTAGACAGTTGAAGTGAGGTAAACTTGACAACATGACATTCTTGCAGATGCAGGGTGGGGGAAAAGTAGGTTTACAGTTCATATAGAACATAATACAGTAATTAATTATAATACAAAAATAAACACTATTTTCTCGTACTCACAACTGTAAATCTACCATACTTTTGCCCCACCCTGTAAATAAGCAGGTCCTTATTTAAAAGTTGCATGTCAAAATAATTACCTGGGTTATGGTGTGTGATGAGATAGTGGTGAAGTGTTACAAGTGTCCCTGGTCTCTCTGCCCCCTGAATGCTGTTATCAAAGATAACCAAAATTGTCCCACAAAATGTTATTAAATTGTAAGGACTAAGTGTGCTGTAGATAATGTAGCTTGTTCATTTCTTGGCCTGTGGTACATTCTTCTTTAAGTATTTATTCCTTACCCCCCTAGTTTTTTTTGCTAACATTACATGGATTTCCATTTGAGAAATTCCCTCTTCTATGTCGCGCGGTCATGTGTATTGGTGTGTACTTGAAATGCTTCTACATTTGTGGAGTCTCCCTCCAGCCCCTTTTTCATAGAGGGAATACTTAAGAAATGTCTTTGAATGTCTGTGTTTTAGATTGTATTGGGCCCCAATCAATCCATATGTACAAAGTTATAGTATATAGTTGTAGGCCATTATCCAGATAATCTCCCAGGCTTCCCATCTAAGAAATAAGTAAATTAGCCCTGACTGACTGGTGTGGCTCCGTTGGTTGGGTGTTATTCTGCAGAGTGAAAGGATGCGGGTTGATTCTTGGTCAGGGTACACGCCTTGGTTGCAGGTTCAGTCCCTGGTCTGGGTGCTATGAGAGGCAACTGATTGATGTTTCCCTCTCTTTCTCCCTCCATTCCTCTGTCTCTAAAAAATAAATAAAGTCTTTTAAAAAAGAAATAAGTAAATTAAACAGTTGTTATTAAAATAAAAAATTTACAAAGGAAAATGTACAAAGCAAAACAACTAGGCTGAACACTGGTGAAAGTATGGTGTGGGTCACTTGAGCATGGTGTGCAGCCCCATCATGGTCAAGCTAGGGCAAGGCTGGAAGTTTCTCTTCAATTTGAGTAGTTTGATTTAAGAATAGAAGGAGAAAGTTTGGAATTTAATGATTTTGGTGTGATGACTTAATGAGACTGCAGGTTGTTTTTAGCTTCCTGAACTTCCGGAATTGCTCTCTTTGTGTGTGTGTGTGTTTTCTTGAGCCTGGTTTTATCAGCATTCTTTTTTTATTTAGGTCTGTGCACAATCCTCTATGTATACATAAATTTTTTTTCTTGTTCAAATTAGCTAGAGATATTTTAGTTGCTCACATATCATATACCCTGAACTAATACAGAGATACGTTTTTTTTTTTTTGCAAAGAGAGGGCAGAAATCAATTAGGACTCTTTGTCTTATTTCAGAACGGAGATGTCTAATAACCCATGGTACACGGCGGTGAAACTGGTAATTAAGTAATTACCTTTATTCACTTGGAACCATGGTCTTGTTGAGGCTAGAGCTTGGGGGAATCTGGTATGTGTTGCCATAGAAAACTTGAAAAGACGATGAGGGATTTGGAAGTAGGAGATGAGAATGACCTCCTGAAGGCACTGGGGAACTTAAAGCAAACGAATAAGGAGCTCAAACCTCCAAAATCTTTTTTCAAGGCAAGTAATGGAATTCTGGGGTTTTCAGGTATTTGGTACCATAGGTCCAACCTAACCATCAAGAGTATATTCCTGCTAAAAGGAGTCTTCCAGCTATTATACTGCTTAGGAAATTAGCAAAGCTAAGGATCTGGAGGGAAGTCATGTGACATAATGAAAAGAATTTGGGATTTAGAACTAGTTTGCTCTAGCTGTCCTGGCTAATCTCTTTTTTGTTTATTTATTTGTTTGTTTGATCTCTTTATTAAACCAGACCTTTTGCAGTTGGTCAGACTGGTTGTCTTGTTTTATTTAATTATGACTAAATTAAATCTTTTGGTAAGTTCTGTGACAAGAGGGAATGCATTTTTTTTTTAAATTTTCATTTTATTGATTATGCTATTACAGTTGTCCCAATTTTTTCTCCCCTTTATCCTCTGCCCCCCCCCCCGCCCCAGCCCTGCAACCCCTCCTCCCACCAGCATTCCCCTTAGCCCTCCTTAGTTCATGTCCATGGGTCATACATATAAGTTCTTTGGCTTCTCCATTTCCTATACCATTCTTAACTTCTCCCTGCCTATTTTGTACCTACCATTTATGCTTCTTATTCCCTGTACCTTTTCCCCCTTTCTCCTTGCTCCACTTTCCTGCTGATAACCCTCCACATGATCTCCTTTTCTGATTCTGTTCCTGTTCTAGTTGTTTTGTTTTGTTTTTAGGTTTGGTTGTTGATAGTTGTGAGTTTGTTTTCATTTTACTATTCATATTTTTTATCTTCTTTTTCTTAGATAAATTCCCTTTAACATTTTATATAATAAGGGCTTGATGATGATGAACTCTTTTAACTTGACCTTATCTGGGAAGCACTTTATCTGCCCTTCCATTCTAAATAATAGCTTTGCTGGATAGAGTAATCTTGGATGTAGGTCCTTGCCTTTCATGACTTTGAATACTTCTTTCTAGCTCCTTCTTGCCTATAAGTTTCTTTTGAGGAATCAACTGATGGTCTTATGGGAACTACTTTGTAGATAACTGTCTTCTTTTTCTCTTGCTGCTTTTAAGATTCTCTCCTTATCTTTAATCTTGCAAAATGTAATTATGATGTGCCTTGGTGTTCCTTGGAAGCTCTGTGGGACTCTGAGCTTCCTGGACTTCCTGGAAGTCTGTTTCCTTTGCCAGATTGGGAAAGTTCTTATTCATTATCTTTTCAAACAGTT